GTTAATATTCCTATAATTCATATAATCAAGACATTTATATATATATACATAATCAAGACATTTACATATACATATATAATCCTATATAGTCCTATATTCATATAATCAAGACATTTATTCCTGTTCTTAAAATTCAGGTAGCATCTGGTGTTTGCAATAACATCAGATAAAAATCATGGAGTCCTGTAGAATGGTTTGTGGGACTGCTACAGGGTATGGCAGGATTTTGTAGCTTAAAAAAGATCTGTGCCAGAATAGGTCATTCCATTTAGCAGTAATAATAAAGCTACTTACCATTTATGTGGCAATTCACATGAGCAAAGCACTGTGCAGACATTCATGAATCCGCTAATATAGATTTTGAAAGAAATCTATTTTTAATCTTTAAAAATATCTGTCTTTAAAGGATCTGGTGGGCCAAATAAAATAGACAACAGAAAACAAAAGGAAAACATGCTTTCTAAATTCCACAGAGGTTGGAGAACTTCATTTCTATTTTCTCCCTGTGCAGATTAGCTCAGATTTCTGTCTGGGTAATAGATACCTCATCTATTACAGCCGTATCTAGGGTGACCAGATGTCCCGGTTTTATAGGGACAATCCCGATTTTTGGGTCTTTTTCTTATATAGGCTCCTATTACCTCCCACCCCCGTCCCTATTTTTGACATTTGCTGTCTGGTCACCCTAGCCGTATCTGGGATTTGTGTGTGTATGTGAGGCGGGGTGGGAGGGAATATTCCAAAATTCCCTGATCATAAGCAACAAAGATGACCTCCATCAATGAAATCAGGCCAGCAATGGCCACTGCAAATCGGGCATTTGCTTGGCGGGTTAGCTCCCGAGGCTGTCTGGAGGGCTGCTCTGCTCCAAATACCCCAGCATATAGAAACTGAGAGTAAAATTCACTCTTGGACATTGACTTTAACATTAATTCCCAAATCACCCATTTAAAAGGTGCCTGGGCTTTGTGCCTGCTCTCTGCACAGGGTGAAAGATTAGCTGGATGGGATGCTTGAGAGACTGCTTCGATATCAGGCTCTGCCTGAGAATGCAGCACAACAGCACCACATGGTGCTCCTCGCTGCACAGTGCAGCCAAACTCCCAGACAGCAACCACAAGCTTGCAGCTGCCTGTCTGTTCATTCTGCTTCTTTCCCAGTGCAGCAGAGATTCCTACAACCCAGCATGTACCCAAGAGATGTGTGAAAATGCTGCCATCTCTCTCCAGCCACGAGAGGGGGAGCCAGTGAGAGATGGATTGCTTAACCTGGCACACTAGAGCGGCCCTACAAGACAGCCCCAAGCAGCTGACCTGGCCTGCACCTCTAACAAATCAGACAACCTGGTTGGGTGCTTCCTGACTCCCAGGACCTAGGGGAGGAAATCTGGGGCTAGCATGTGTGAGGAAGAGATGAAATTGGGGTTAGTACTGGCCATGGAGGAAGGGGGGACAATTGGGGAGCAGGTGCCATAAGAGAAGAATGAGTGCATATTTAAGTCACTGCCCTGAAGCTCAGGTGATGTGGGTTCAATGTCTGGCTCTGGTACAGACTTCCTGTGACCTTGGGCAAGTCACCTGAAGAAGGAAGCTTGAGAACCATGGCTCAGGGTGCTTCCTGAGGGTCCCTGAAGGTATTCTGGATGGCTACGTTCTCTGTGAGCCACAATCCAGCCCATCATCCACCTTTCAATTACAACACACAGTGTATGTATGTTTATAGGGAGGAAGTGGAAATAAGGAACTAAACAGTCCTCTGAAAATGAATACATTGTCTAGAAGTTATTTAATGCCAAAAGAAATGAGAAACAGGAGTGATAATCAGCAGTAGCATCATGGGCTTTAGCGCACTGAGAATGCAGAATGAGCAGACTGACTTTACAGCCTGGATTCTATCCAAGCACCAAGGATTTACTCTGGGCTGTGAATTTATTTGGCTACCTTCAGCTTTTGCTGAAGGTACCTTCTGGACGTTAAAGAATAACTTCATGGAGTCACTCAAGTCAAGGATCAAAAAAGCCAAAGTGGACTAGAGCTCAAAAGTACAAGCCTTCCGAGCTAACGTGTCAGCTGATATCAGAATGCAGGGCGACTTCCCCGAACAGTGTACACTTGAACAGAGGCATTTAAACAACAGCAAAAATAATCCTTAACTGGTCACTACAGGGACTTTGTATTAGAGAATAATAAAACAAATTTAAAAGCGTCATTTTTCCCAGCTATATTAAGCTAAAAACTCCCTGACACATGGAACCATTAATTAACCTAATAGAAGTAACTTGATTTAATATGTTCTTCAAGTGTTGACATCCTGTGGCACAAACTCTGAATATCTGTTCCCTAACAAACTCATCATTATCTGTAGATAATGGCCAATTTCTAAAGCACTCTCACTTTGTTATACTTCCAAAGAAACTGAAAGGCTAAGAAATTGTGACTGATGGCCTCTCTCCTGATGCTTGCAACATTCTACATCACATAATACATTAACCCAACCTCTACGGCATATGCATAACTGCTCTTGGGTAGCTATTGATTTGGATTTTATTGGCTGCCTGGTACAGTTATAGTGTACTCAGTATTTTCACTGTATTTATAATTAGTTACAATACAGATAAGATAGGCCACATTGTAACAGAAGTGATCAAATAATGGTTTTACAGTAAAGCATTACGATTAATGCTGACATTCCAGTTGATCGGTTGAAAGTTTGCCAGAGGAATCGGATTAAGATAACCATTTCTAGTCAGATATGGGGCAAATACTAATTTTTCCTTGGTTTACTGAGCATCATGAACTTTCCTGGTAGTTAGTAGGAGTTCTTATTAATGTACCTGCTTTGAGTACATTAGATAGCAACCACAGCAACAGATTTACTAGCTGGTGACCTGCTGAAGAACTGAGGGGTATGTCTACACTGTAATTGGAGGTGTGATTGCAGCTAGCTTTACCTGCACTAGCTTTAATCTAGCTAGCAGAGCTAAAAATAGCAGCAAAAACCTGGTGGCACAGACTGTGGCATGGGTCAGCAACACAAGTATGTACCCAGTGCTCCAGACAGCCCACGCTGAAGCCTGTGCCACCATGTCTTTACTGTTGTTGTTTGCCATGCTAGCTAGAGTAAAGTTCGCATGCATATGCCTACCTGAGCTACAATCACACCTTTGACTGCAGTGTAGACATACCCAGGGAGCAAACCAAGCTCATCATCCACTTTCTCCCAGTTCAAATGTAACTTTACTTCTCGGAATGCCTTCAGTCTGTATTAGCAATATTAATGGAAACAACAAGGAGTCTGGTGGCACCTTAAAGACTAACAGATTTATTTGAGCATGAGCTTTCGTGAGTAAAAACCTCACTTCTTTGGATGCATAGAGTGAAAGTTACAGATGCAGGCATTATATACTGACACAACAATATTAATGGATGCATTAGAAATGCCTAGATAGCCAGATTAAAGAGACTAGATACATCGAAATAAATGCACACACAAAGAGTGGTGCCAACCAACATCCTTTAGGGATGGAAGTGATGATAACCTTGGACCTGATCCAAAGCACACTGAAGTCAATGGGAAAGCTCCCATTGACTTCAGTGGGCTTTGGAGTGGGAACCATCTGAAGAACACATGGCTATTGTTTCTGTGCTTTGGTTTGGCCATGAGAACACTGAAATAATACACAGAGCGGACAAATAGATCTTTGCACAATCCAGAGCTACATGCAAATCAGAGGCTCTTATATGTACAAAGGCTGCAGCTCACCCTCATGACCACCACACCTCCTTGCAGGAGAGTCAAGAGCAAGAAAAGGGCTCGGCCCCTAGCCACAGCCATGCAACTGCATCTCATCTCTGGGTCGGGGTCATTGTGTGGTTCTATTTCTGCGAGTGGTGTGTAATAGTGGTGAAGATCTAGTGGCACAGACTCCGGCATGGGTCAGCAATGCAAATATGTACTCAGGTGGGACTCCTGCTTAGGGGAAGGAAGAGGAGGATTAGGGAGGAGAGGAATGTTCGGCCTGACGGTGTACGGGTTAAAAGACGGTGAGACTGTCTGTGTAAAAGAACTCACTGTCAGAGACTGTGAATCGAAGTAGGTTTTTAAAAACCCTAAACCCTTTCACTTTTCCCAAGATTTATTTATTGCTGTTATCTTGACCAGCCAGAGAGGAGATCTAGATCATCTATATTTGCTAAAGTAATGGCCGTGACAAGCACGAACACATTTTCTATATGCTCCGTATCTGATTCGAATGACGCCTTGAAGATATTTTTAATGTCAACAGGTTCCTTTAACAGAACTTCAAAATGGCAAAACCAATTCACAGCACATGGGGAATTCTGATCAGCAGGGCACCGATTGAACAGGTGCTTAGAGCTGCATACCCTGGCCACAGTCCAACAAAGCACCTCGAAACACATACTGAACTTTAAGGACGCGAGTAGTCCCACTGACTTACAAGGGACTATACATATGCTAAAATAAACCACATGCTTAAGTGCTTTGTTGGATCAGGCCTTCATTCACTTGATGCATTCAGTCCAACTAATGCTCTGATGTGAAAATTAAAGCTACCACCGATTTCCTTTTTAGTTTTTCTCAATTATATATACCACTGCTCTTATTCCTAAGAAGGTGGCTGGCTTTTCCTGGCTGCCAGTATCAAACACCCTCATATCTGATTGGTTCGGCCCAGAGTGATTGAGGAGAAACAACAATCCCGGTGGGTGGATGGGAGGTGTAGAATAGATGGCCTTCCAATGGCTATCCCTGATTACAATATTTGCTGAGATCAGGGTGCAGTTAAAGATTTGAACAATCTTTTCGTTAAATCTAGAAGTTAAGAACAGTCTCTTAAATGGTTTGTACTCATTTGATCAACATTATTGTAAAGCAGTTTTTGTCCATCTCCAGTGCTTATGCCTGGAGTATGTCATGATTAAAAATAGCCAACTTGTTTCCTTGGCTGTACCTCTGAAATGAAACAGAGGGCATCTTACCTCTGTTAACATTATTAGGCCAACAAAGTATGATACAATCGAAAGAGCAAGAATCAACAGTTCCCTTCTGTATCCTCTTCGGAAAATCTTTGGGTACATATCCACCACAGCTGTCACAAGGCTTTCAACACACACAAACTGAAACAAATAACAAAAAGTCCAAATAAGATACATATCTCTTCTACTCTGGGGAATTGGATTTGCTAAAAAACCCTTCAAGTTCCCTCCTATATTCTCATCAAAGAGATAGACTGAAAAATCCCCGAGGATACTATTTAAAGTGAAGAACAAAATTTCAGAGTCAAAAAGTCCAAACCTATGGATTTCGAGGCAAAAGCCAAATTCCAAAAAGTAAAAACTATCATAATCTCAGAGTGAAATTCATTGTGGAGCACAGGCCCAGCACAATATTTAAGTCTTTAAAATATGTGCTTAAATGGGACTTAAATGCTGCCCCGAAGTTGAGATGGGTGTACATGAGGAATTGCACACTCAGTGCACTGTGGAACTGTCACTTAAAAGAATAATAAGCAGCACTTAAGCAGCACTGTAATCTTCAAAGTGTTGAGCTATTTATCTTCAATAGCCTGCAGAGGTAGGTAAGTGTGTTTCTCCCCATTTTTACAGATGAAATAAAATGAAGCAGAGTGGTTAGGTGTCCCAGCACAGGCCAGACAATGTGTCACTGAAAGAGCTGAGAGCAGAACTCAGGAGTTGGTAATTTCCAGTCCCTTTTGCATTCTGCTACATCAAGTTGCGTCTTGGAAATGTGTAGACCTTATAAAACATTAATTTTAATGATCTGAAGTGCTGAAGTACAAACACCACACAGCTTTACTGTACAGCGTACAATCATACTTATTTCCTGAAACACATACAAATTACTTAGATAATATGAGACACTCATTACCGTACAATATGTCTGGTGAAGCAATTCTTGTGCAATTTTTCTATAATTAAATAGACTAGGCAATAGCTATAGTGCTGTCACTTTGCTGCATTACCTAATTACATCTTTCTTGCCATCATATCTTGAAATATGAAGGTATAGCATAAGCACTTTCATTTTCAGTATCCTCTTCCCAGTGATCAAAATTGCTTGCATGTTGGTTTGAAAAGAAACACATACCGTTGTGCTGTCGTTGTTTTACAATGAGTGGACTTGAACAGTATTGTCAATTCTAATTGAATGTTGATGAAATTGCATACCATACTGACATTAATATTAAAAGCAGAACTCAGATGAATCACTGCTTACAATTAATAATAAAGGAATCTGCAATATACAGATTTGCTTTTTTTTATCATCAAATAAGAAACTTGAAATAGAGGCTTTAAACAGGGCCAGATCCTCATCAGTACAAAGAGGCATAGCTCCCTTGACTTTAAAGAAGCTATGCTGCTGTACATATGCTGAGAATCTGACCCAACATTTCTTTTAAGTGATGTTTGATTCATACCTGACTATCTAATCCAAGGAATATTAGCATCATGAAAAACAAAGTTGCCCATAGCGGAGAAAGAGGCATCATGGTGACAGCTTTTGGGTAGGCAATGAATGCAAGTCCTGGCCCTGAAAAGGAAGCAAAAAAAAATGCAATTGCTTATACTTTAACATTCTCGTGTGATAAATCAGATGTGAAGAGCTAAATAAAAGAGAGAGCATAAATATAAATAAATAAATAAATAAATAAATAAATAAATAAATAAATAAATGTAAGCTCAATGAAAAATGCACTGCTATAAATGCTTTAGCAATTGTTGGATGTGGGGGGAAGTACTCTGCACCAGCCTGATACCCCCCCCGGGCACAGATTACTTCCCTTGAAGCATCAGCTCAGCTGGGCCAGATGGCTAATTGCAGGGGCAGAATGAAGGCTCCCCCCACTCCCTGTCCACATGTGCAGCGCTGGGGTGAGGGGGTTGTGGTTCTATGGAGACAGCTCTGTTCCTTGCACCCTCTGGCTCCCCTGTGGGTGGGACAAAAGTAGACAGGATGAGAGGCCAGAGTGGGTTGTGGAGATAATGCACTGGAAATTCCCCATGACAAAGGAATATTTGGCTGCCCAATTATAGCAGCTTTGTGGCACAATATAACCAGGATTTGGCCTCTTAACTTCTTGGATTTTGCTGCTTTCTATGATAATTTTAATGTTATTCACACATAGATATGTGACCACAAAAGTATTACATTGATACCAGTGCACATTTTACAAGCAGTCATTCTAATTAGTAGCATAGCTATTAAATAACAGCATCTTTCTAATCTGTACATAATGCAGCCTGGATCAATGTCAACCTATCTAATTACTGGAGAGCAAGAGAGTACCCAGACAAACTTTATGAACACCAACAATCAAGCATATTTATACCCACATGAAATCTCCTTATGAAACTTACCTGATTCTGCAACTTCTGCTATGGGCACTCCTTGTTCATAAGCCATGAAACCAAGGACTGAAAAGATGGCAAAACCAGCAACAAAGCTTGTGCCACTGTTCAAGCAGCAGAGCATAATGCAGTCCCTGAAAAATAAGCCAAAAAATCTTTGTTTTATCTTCAGTGGTTGTTTGTTGTTGTTGTTTTTTTTACCAGACTTCACAGTAAAACAAACATAACCCAAAACTCCAGAGACACATCATTAAGTTCTAATCCTGCAAATACTTATGCATGTGAACAATCTTATGCCCAAGAATAGTCACACCGATAAATTTACTCATGTGTATAACTGTCAGCAGGATGATGGCTTCCAACTCTTGCTGTAACACTGGTCTACAATTTTTGAGAAGTCGTCTGCTTCCGAGATAAAATGTGCTATTTATTATGTATTTTGATGTGCTGAATTCAAATATGACAATTAAAACAACTGATTGGCTACTGTTTCTACGATATTTAAGTTTTTACATTTTATGTCTATGTATATTGTGTAGATAGTAGAGTTTTAATCATAAATTGTAAACCTAGGTCTTTTCATGTGTTTATGGTTGCTTTACATGATATATTTCACCTGTCCTGTTTATGTAACACTTTAAAAATCAGCAAAAGGGTTATATAAATAAAATGTATTATGAAACAAAAGGCAAAAAACGATTATGTACATAGTTTAGTCCTATTCAGTGTCTACTCGGCGCTTCTTGGCTTGTCTCTTGTATTCATTAAATGGAGCATCTCTTGTCACTGTCCAGCAATAGTCTGCAAGCATTGATGGGCTCCATTTGCCCTGATAGCGTTTCTCCATTGTTGCAATGTCCTGGTGAAATCGCTCGCCGTGCTCGTTGCTCACTGCTCCGCAGTTTGGTGGAAAAAAATCTAGATGAGAGTGCAAAAAATGTATCTTTAGTGACATGTTGCAACCAAGGCTTTTGTATGCCTTGAGGAGGTTTTCCACCAACAACCTGTAGTTGTCTGCCTTGTTGTTTCCGAGAAAATTTATTCCCACTAACTGGAAGGCTTTCGATGCCGTCTTTTCCTTGCCACGCAGTGCATGGTCAAATGCATCATCTCAAAGAAGTTCACCAATCTGAGGATCAACAAAGACACCTTCTTTTATCTTAGCTTCACTTAACCTTGGAAATTTTCCATGGAGGTTCTTGAAAGCTGCTTGTGTTATGTCAATGGCCTTGACAAAGTTCTTCATGAGACCCAGCTTGATGTGTAAGGGTGGTAACAAAATCTTCCTTGATTCAACAAGTGGTGGATGCTGAACACTTTTCCTTCCAGGCTCCAATGACTGTCGGAGTGGCCAATCTTTCTTGATGTAGTGGGAATCTCTTGCATGACTATTCCACTCGCAGAGAAAACAGCAGTACTTTGTGTATCCAGTCTGCAGACCAAGCAAGAGAGCAACAACCTTCAAATCGCCACAAAGCTGCCACTGATGTTGGTCATAGTTTATGCACCTCAAAAGTTGTTTCATGTTGTCATAGGTTTCCTTCATATGGACTGCATGACCAACTGGAATTGATGGCAAAACATTGCCATTATGCAGTAAAACAGCTTTAAGACTCGTCTTCGATGAATCAATGAACAGTCTCCACTCATCTGGATCGTGAACGATGTTGAGGGCTGCCATCACACCATCGATGTTGTTGCAGGCTACAAGATCACCTTCCATGAAGAAGAATGGGACAAGATCCTTTTGACGGTCACGGAACATGGAAACCCTAACATCACCTGCCAGGAGATTCCACTGCTGTAGTCTGGAGCCCAACAGCTCTGCCTTACTCTTGGGTAGTTCCAAATCCCTGACAAGGTCATTCAGTTCACCTTGTGTTATGAGATGTGGTTCAGAGGAGGAGGATGGGAGAAAATGTGGGTCCTGTGACATTGATGGTTCAGGACCAGAAGTTTCATCCTCTTCCTCTTCCTCGTCTGACTCAAGTGAGAATGATTCTGATGCATCAGGAACCGGCAGTCCTTCTCCGTGGGGTACTGGGCGTATAGCTGATGGAATGTTTGGATAATGCACAGTCCACTTTTTCTTCTTTGACACACCTTTCCCAACTGGAGGCACCATGCAGAAGTAACAATTGCTGGTATGATCTGTTGGCTCTCTCCAAATCATTGGCACTGCAAAAGGCATAGATTTCCTTTTCCTGTTCAACCACTGGCGAAGATTTGTTGCACAAGTGTTGCAGCATATGTGTGGGGCCCACCTCTTGTCCTGATCTCCAATTTTGCAGCCAAAATTAGTAAAGTTTGACTACATTTATTTCAGAAGCATTTTGGCTGTAGAGTAGTGTAATTGTAGTTGGTTAAATATGAAGTCTGTTGTTGCTACCCCATTATTTTTCTTTCTTTGTTTTTCAGTAAAACCGTAAAAAGATGTGCAAGAAATGGACACCTCAAAAGGTTTGGATGACAATTTACTTCATTAGCGGTGATATTTATAGAATGAATTTTATTCAAGAGGATCCCAAAGCCCTTTATAAATTATATATGTACAGCAGTCACTGGCCACCAAAAAGAAGCCACACCGGGGTGAAAATGACAGAGGCATAAACGCCTAATGAGAAATATAGCAAAGGACTCTGGAGCAAAGCCTTGGTCTTACAGAAATGTGCCAAGAGATCTTCAATGCTGTAGACATGACATTAGTCAATATTTCAGTATATAAAGCAAATAATTATTATTATATAAAGCAAATAATTAATTGTGGCCAGGCCCTCAGTGGATCAGCAGTAGAACTATGCCAATTTACACCCGCTGAGAATCTGGCCTCCAGTCTCTTTCAGAATCAAATCTATTTCTTAGATGTCCTCATCACAAAAATCACCATTGAAACCCTTCTTGGTAGAGTCAGAAAAGTCTAGAGATGGAATGAGCTTGGAGAGTGATCTGCTCTCTCACACCCTGCATGTGATCCCTCCATATCAGAGCTGAGGTCTGTTAATGGGGTGGTGTGGGGAAATATTTCATTAACATGTGAAATGTCACAATAGTAAACCACGTTTAAAAGAGAGAGAATCCTTTGGGAAAACGTGTTATATTTGCTCAAAGCTTAGCTGAGAACCCTTGTTCACCCTATTTTCAGATAGCACTTTAGCCTTGATGAGTGCTAAGGTGGATATGACATCCACTTTCTTAAGAGCCATTTGCTGCGAGAAATGGCTATGTAGTTGAGAATCTACTAGCCTAAGATTTATGATTGAAAGTGAATTAGGATCCTCAAAGATTGATGCACACACAGCAAGCCAGAATCTCTGCCAGACCTCAGCTTTAGCCTGATTTTCTCAGCACTATCGGGCTCTGAGAAGCAGGCCTTCTACAAGCACAGATGACCCAGATAAATGTCTAAAAGGTTTCATCTCTGCATAATTAAGTAACATGCCACACATCTTTCTCACAGTTTCATGGGGTCTTCCTGAAACCATTGAGATAATTAGTATATGTTCTCCAAGCCCTGGAGTTTACTTCATCATATACAACAAATATGCAAATGTATCAAAACTTATTTGCCAATCTCTCTAAAATTGTTTTTTCCTTTTTCTCAAAGATTTTTATCCTACCGTCAGACCTCACTGCTCAGTCTTCAAGTTTATGGTTACCTTGATAATCTCTCCAAATTTCCTGATGTCTGTTTCATAGACTATCCTGCATTTAATTACAGCAATAGATAACACTAAGTGCTTAGGTATTGCATATTAGCCATAAATCTCAAAGCATGGTACAAAAGTGAATAAATATTAGCACCCCCATTTTAGAGATGGGAAAACAGAAGCACAGAAGGGTGGTTTGTTTAACATCACACTGCAAGTCTATGTCAGAGCTAGGAATAGAACCCAGCTGCCCAGGCCCCCCGTCTGAGTCTATCTCCACTGGGCAACACTGCCTTTCATGTCTGGCCTCTCTAACACCATCTCAACTTTTTTCAAATTGTTTCTGAAAATCACTTGAATTCTACCTTGTTATTCATTTATTTTTAATATGGTATACATGCCTGTGTTTATAGAAAGCCATCCAGTCATACATTGTGAATGGTGGCATTATGCCCCCAGGTACTGGCTCAGAAAATCAGTAATTATCACTGGAACTGTTTGATACTTTTCAAAGAAAGCAAAGAAGGAAGGCACCGAAAAGCAGTTTCTCTCTGCTTCTGTCCCCAGGGTGGGAGCACTGTGTACTGTGCATGCTTGGAAGTGTGCAGACTGAAGGGGCACTTCACAAGCAATTATTTTCAGTTTACTCAGACACTGAGTTGATCATTCTGGAGAGAGCCCAATCTAGGCTCTCTCACCTGGAGGGAAAAGGCAACTCAGTGCAGAGCCTTTGGTGGGGGATGGAAGAAATAAAGATGAGCTTTGGGGGAATTCCCCCAAGAGGAATTCCTCCAAAAGCGAAAAAATCCATTTATTTATTAACAAGAAGTACTTGGAATACATTTCTCAAAATATATTCCATCTTCAAGACTAAAGAATACTTTTGCACTTGGATTATTATTGTTTATTATATATCCTAAAAAGTCATAAGTATTTGTGGTGCTTTACATACAAACAAGAAACACAATGGGCTAGATCCTCAGCGATGCAAATCAATTTTCACCAGATTGCAAATGTAAAGTTCCATCAGCTGTGGATCTGGCCCAAGGTCCCTACAGGAGGGCTTTCCAGTTCTTTTTCACCTGGATCATAACTTGTACTATGTAGAATAAAGCCCACAGAACTACCATAAAACAAAATACACACCTATCTTTAAACAATGCATATCTTCGCTGAGTCTAAAAAATGAGAAAGGAGCTAATTGGACACTCAACCTAGCTAGTAAGACTGATTGTCTCAACATATGAATTGAAAACATCAAGCTTAGGGTTTGTGTTTAGATTTAATCTACCTATGCTTTCCTACCAAGCCTATCATCAGAGTATCTGACCACCTTTTATTGAGTGTCACAGGGACATTTGACCACATTTGGGAAACAAACAGTCATTCTGAAGAATTCCCTGAATTAGAGTTACAAATGTAAGTCTTATCACATTGTTACTTAACATAAACACATGCTGCCATATCCAGGTATACAAAACTCTGAG